GAGGTGGTGGAGTCACCATCCATGGAAGTGTTCAAAAAATGTGTAGATGTGGCACTTTGGGACTTGGTTTAGTAGGCACGGTGGTGTTGGGTTGATGGTGGGATGATGATATTAGAAATCCTTTCCAATCTTAATGATTCCTAGATTTTACTTTCATTATAAATAATCCAGCCACCAAGCCAGGAAACTTGAACTTGCTACTCTACCCTTAATTGGTTTAGTGGTGGACTTGGTAATGTTAGGTTAATGGTTGGACTGGATGATCTTAAAGGTCTTTTCCAACCTAAACGATTCTGTGATCCTATGATTGTAAAAGATTTCACAGTTTTTGGATACCAGGGGGAATTTGCACATATGTGATAGCAGAACCCACCAGGAGCTGCATGTTACAGGTAATCTGAAGTCTAAAGTTTGCTGGACTCATGAATGAGAAATGCAATCTAGACAGAAATCCACAGAAAAAGTATAAAAAAGCTACATATAAGGGTGAATTTACTCTTTATCACAATGAGCAGAAGTTTATTCTATAAAGAATTTCATCGCAATGAATGAATTGAAGAGGACTAGAGTAAAAGAGAGAAAATAACTTTCTGTGGACCCTAATGAATATCACTAACATGCACATTTAACACCCCATGGAATTAGCAGCAGTACTTTGGGCAGTGTGAAGCTGTGGTCCACTGCGGCAGCACAAAGCTCATCCAAACAGTTCATGCCGTTTAGCATTTACTACATGATTTTTATTCTGTATTTTGTTTTTTTTCCATCCTCCTACCACTAGGACAAAGTCTATAGATAGACACTTTGCTCAGAATTGCATCCACATGCTACTGATAGCACGCAATGTACCTTCTCCTCTGAATGGATACTGTTATACATGTGTGAAGCACTATCTCTCTGTAACAAATAGCAAGTGTTTGGAAAAATGCCAGTGAAACAGATTTCCACCAAATCTAACAACTGGTGAAAATGGAAATAAGCTGTGAAAACATTTAATTTTAAATGCAGTTCTTCCAGAAACTGGGAAGTTTCCTGCCAGATTGCCAGCAAACTGCCTAGCTAGTTGCCACAGGCCACAGGCTTCAGTGCTGCAGGACAGGCAGACAAGCGAGGAACCTCAGGGTTGGAGAAATCTAGGACTTCCATGATGCAACACTTAAGGACGTGCTCCTAAAGGTCTGATCCCTGCAAAAAGGCACCCATCCATTTTGGAAAAGGATTTTCACATTTCAGATTTTTCCTCTGAATAAGTACAAGGCAACATTTCAAGAGTGAAATGTTCTGTAAAAGTCTGCCCAGATCCAATTTCAAAAGGCATAGTATTTTCTAGTGATTTCCCCCCACCTTCACCATTCAAGAAGATGCTTCCATTTTTAGGGTTAGCTTTACCTCATATACTCTCTGTTGCTCCTGCAGTTCTTCAAACCGTCCTGGAATATTTGTTTTTAAGGCCTCTTTCATTTTTTCTAGAAATTTCATCCAGTTTTCACATTTCTGAAAGAATTTCTTTTCATCATTTTGAGTTCCCTCAAGCACACTGTAAAACAAAAGAAATCTTCAGAAACTATTGTGTTGCTGGTTGTATGTTTGCATACAGTCTAACACGGTGGTTAGTAATACTAACATAGTAGGGCTTTACTTGGCACTTTGCTACATTCTTCACCTATGAACATCCAGATTTTTGCTTCAAGTGACTTGGAATACAAATAGCCACCGAATAATCTGGAGTAAGTTGCAAGGGGAAGAATTCAACTTTGAAAGCCCCTAAGAAAGCTGAGAACAGACTGCAAGAGTTCCCATGCTTTAATTTGGTTTTGATTTTTCTCACAGAAAAGGAAATGGTTAGTAGTGATTTTTTGTTTACATTTCGGACCTGCAGCGTTCCAGAGCAGCTGCTGTTTTCTGACTCCACTGCCGAGTCAGGCTCTGCATTTTCTTCAGGGTGAAGTCACTGAGTGGCACCTTAATGCTTGCTTCATTCAAACTCTCTATGTTTGGAGAAAGTGCAGCAAGCTCCAGTGTGTGATTCTGGAAGTAAAAAAATAAATTGATTGCAAAAAATACTGCCCGTCTTTCATTTCAAAGAAATAGTGAAGCCTCTTCTGTAGGAAGCATCTGAACGTTACGCATCCAAAATGCTAATCCAAAAAACTGCAACATTTCTGTGTTAACTTCAAAGAATATAAGAAACAAAAAAGTCACAATTCCCTTACACAGAGCTCACTTTTCCAACAGTACTGAACAGATACTCAAGAGCCGGTACTTGCAGATTTACTTTGTACCCTACACATTGAGGGCAACAGGGTAGCTCCAGAGCAAAGCTGGGGAAAAAGATCTCCCATCAGCCCCAAATCTATGTGATTTTCCTCCCCCCCATGCAGGCATTTGGCCTGCAGTGCATATCTAGGATTTTTATGAACTTAAATCATTGCTTTTTGTGTTTTGGATGAGATTATAGTTACTCTGATGGAAGTGCTATAACTACAATACTTAGGACATAAAGAGTTTCTTGAAGTAGGCAAGAGCTGGTATCCTACGGACACTTAAACCCTGAGTATGTATTTTTTTGTACTTGGGAACCCAAACATACCATGAGCAATTCTGAGTTGTCTGTTTCCCCCTCTAGACAGAGGTTATCGAAGGCATCTGTGCAATTCTTGACATGACCCTCCAGCATTTCAAGGCAGTTCTTGAAATCCTCCAGTTGTAAAAGATTGAACTAGGGTGAATATTGCATATTTACATTAATTATGATTTAATATACATATTCAGTATACAAAAAGGAGCAATAAGCGGTATCGTCAAGAAAACAAACAGATGTTAAATCCAAATTCCAATGTATTTCTAACTCACTAACTGAACTTTTTCAGTTTTTGCACTGGATAAGGGGAAAACTTAAGCCAAAGCAGAGAGCCAGAAACTGAATCTCTAAATCCTGAGAGATTCATATATATATGGAGGGAATAAGGGCATCTGCAATACCTTTTTGTAGCTTTGGGCTGTTTGATTTATTGTGAAATTGGAAAGCCAAAACTTAATCAGGGAAGAAACTTGTGAAAATGAGCTTCCTTTGAGCTACACACAGGGCCTGCTCCCATGTGCCTACAGCCAAGGCTGTGCACATTACATGAGCTCTGTGGAGAGAAATAACTAGGGCTGGAATTCAACTGTTTTCTTCACTAGGCTGGTTTCTTTGTGTCAGGGAGAAGAGCACTGGGGAAGCTTTTTCTTTCTTGCAAGAATTAAGCTCCACATCTCTAAAAACACTGAAACAGCAACATTTTTATAAGGAATGAATGGCAAAAATTGGTGTGGGGAGAGAGACAGTTCTGTGGTAATCTACAGGGTTACACCAGAGAAAATGACTACCCAGAAATTAAATTTTTCATGGAGCGAGAAGTTCACAGGGAATATGAGAAATCTGTTATCTTCACAAAGAGATCTGGCTTCCAGCCATTGAACTGTGCTGGTAGACAAGAGTCATGAATAGAGCTGGCTGAAAATTTCTTGATGAATTTGGATTTACTTTAGAACAGAACAATTCATTGAAACCAGACTTTTTCACAGGACCAGACTAGTTTTACATCAGTAAACGTACAGCAGTACATTTGCTTGGATGTTTTCTCAGGAATACCTATGTGGAGGGGAATTCAATCCCACAGCATTCCTGTGAGCAGAGCGTCATATGGGGAAACCTGGATCCAGGTCCCTCCTCACTCTGCCTGAACAGGGATGGGAATCTGGTCTTCAAAATTACATGAAATGACCACAGTTTTCTGTTTGGTTTTAGGTACATTGTGTGCACTCTTACCAAAGCAAACTGAAGCACTTAGGTTTTTTCCAAGGCAGAGCTGAGCAAGTTTACAACTTACTTCGAAGTTCATAGAATAAAAATACATTTCCTAACCTTTAATCATCTGAGGGTCCCATACTGCTTGACTCTAATAGGTCCACTTACAAAGGCTTGTTAGAGCAAGACAAGCAGGTAAGAAGGGTGAAACCCTTCCTTCATCTGTCCCTCTGGCTTCATGTATTACTTCTTTACCTAGTTGATCATACTGTCAGGTTTTATTTTATTGAAATTTCATTTCAATTCAAGAACTACAGGGCTCTAGTAATGAAGGTAGCTCACACAGGGCTCTAATGAAGAAATTACCTCACATTGACAGCTAATTTAGTATTCAAAAAAGTACCTCAAGTTCATCTAGCTTCATCTGCAACATCTTTTCCAAATAGGATGCTCTCTGGAGCGGCTGCAGCTTCTCCAACAGAATGGCTTGTGCAGCTGTCCCAGCCTGCTGTTTTATCCTATCAGCCAGCAAAGAAATCTGGGTACGGCATCCTGTTATGTTTTGAAGGCCATGCTGTAAATTCTGATGAGAGAAGGGGAAAGAAAAAAAAGTCAGCAAATGAATCAGATCGTCATTCATGTGCCACTTTCATTTAGTATCTTTTGTTGCTGTAACTAAGCTCTTTTTGTTGATCTCCTCCGGGAGGCAAATTCAACTATGGTGAAAGCTTCAGTCTTTTACTCGGAGGATAATGGGAATTGCATCCATTGACTCTAGTGCTGGGAAAGGCACAGTTCAAAGTTCAGTGGAACACCAGTGACTTCAGGCAGTGGGATACTACTGCTACAGAGGAGATCAGGGAGAGAAATCAGACTATCACTCTCTACAGAATGGATTAACACTAGCAGATAGAGAAACTGGCCCATGCTGCAGATGAGAAATGCTGTTAGGTTACAAACACACCAGTACTTTGGATCCCTTAGTGACTGAGGGCTATGGCTTTGGTTTTATTTGTTCCCCTTTACTACAGAAATGATGCTATAAAATTAAACTCTAAAGGCAGTACAAGAACAAAGGGAATAATTTTATACTCGTTCAATGTACTTGATTTTTTTTTTTGACCTGGACAACTGTTGTTTACTTTTAGCCATGAAACCCCCTAGAATTTGCCACTATATATTGTCTTTTCTGTGAGTAATGAACAAACACTTCTGATTGATAGCAAAGAGCAGACATATTTCCCTAAAAAGCAAAATGGCTCTTAGCTCCTGACCCCTGTCGTTGGAATGAATCATATTGTAAACTGCCACTTCAGCCATTTAGTAAATAACCCATTTTGATTTCTTACTCTCTATATAGGACTTTATTTCATTTTATTGTGGCGACAGAGTTCCATAAAACCTTAATCTTTCCTAATATATACTAAAGGAAAAGATTACAGAGACTAAAATACAGTTCTGTAATGCAGATATATTTTCAAATACACGTAACTCATATTGCATATCACTGATCCCCATTCTTCTAACTCACCACTTTCAAAAAAACCCAATAAATTCTGCATCCTACCCACACATACCAGGACAGGATCTACAGTGCTATTGGCACTCTAGAGGTCAGGCCTTGCTTAATAGATGCAAAACTCTTTCCAAAAATTTCCAGAAAACGTGATGCCTTTTTGCTGACATATTGATGAATTTATGTCCCAGCCATTAATAGATCAGAAGAAAGTGAAAATGTTTTTGTCTAAGCTTTGCTGCTGTCAGTTGTTTCTGACACAGGAAGAAATAGATGAGTTCTCCTTCCCATAATGTAAAGTTTCTTAATTGGCCACATGCAAAATGGAGTACTTTGGACTTCTTCCAATATGTGGCTAGAGGTTCATAAAGCATGATGAATCATTGCTCTGTCCTGAAATAAGGATTATTACATTTCTTTATTGCAGTCTGAAGAAACCAAAAATGTCAGAACCTGCTGACAGCTTTGCTGCCTGAGAGAGTCAAATATACCCTGTGGTCTCAGCATGAGATCTCATTTGCTTAAAGTCAGAAGCATTTAGAATAATCTAATGAGCTCAGAAATCTGTGAACTTATCAGACCAGGCCAAAAAAAAGTATCAAACCCAAATAAAACCAATTTGAAGACCGTAGAAGACCTCAAGATGGTCCTGTGTTATGGAAAACTGGTCTTTTTTCCTCAGCTATTGTTCTAGTAGATACTACCTCTCCTCCCATGCAGTGCCCCATAAAGTAAATAATTTTTGGTTTAATGACTCCTTCCAACACAGGCCTGATTCTTTGTATAGAGCAGAAAGGGGCAGAGATGGAATACGATTGCTCCCTTTTGCTCTCTTCTCATCTTATGCTAACTCTGGTTTGGTTTGGTCACAGGATCTGTTCCAAGCATTTAAAGGAAATACAAAGGTGCCTGTTAACAGAAAAAAACCCCAGACTTTATGTTTTCCACTGACTGGATTTTGGAGAGGAGGAGGGAAGAAGGTGTTCTTTTGATTTGTTTCTCAAAAAGAAATCCTGGTTTGTACCAGGCAGCAGAAAAATATTAATGTACCTTTATATCCTGTATCCTCTGCTTCAGGGTTTCTATCATGTTATCCTCAGGCATGTGAGCATCCAAGAGCTGAGCGCACTGCTCTTTGTGCTGTTGTAACTTGGCTGCTGCCTCAGTGCATAAAGTATCGAAGGGCTCCCAAAGCTGCAGGGTTGCTTGCGCTGCCCTCAGTTGATCTGTGATGTCTTCATTTACTGAGTTCCACCTGCCAACATATCAAAGGGTAGGAGCATTTTCCTAGTAGGTTCTCCTCGAGAATATGATTTGGTGTAGGATTCCTGTGGGAGTTTCTTTGCATTCATACCCATGTTACTGAAAGCCCGCTGACACAGCACCATTTTGTGCTCTGTGATCCATCACAAAAGAGGTAGCATCAGCTACTCCTCACACAGGTACCCTTAGACAGGTGAGTCGTATTAATATAGATTTAAAAATCCAACAGATGTTCAAGTCCTGCCTTAGCAACTTTTTTTTTTTTTTTTTTAAATACAAATAACCAGGGCTCTTTTTCACAAGCTTACCTAGTGCGTGCCTCCGTGCACTTCTGCTCAATAATCTCTGCAAAGGAGGGGGAGCAGTTCTTCTTCAGGTTACTGGCAGCAGCCTCGAGCTTGGCCCAACTTTCTTCACTGTTTTCCAATTCATCTTGAAGAGACTGCAAAACGGATTATTGCAATTAGTTGTGGAGATGAACGACCTAAGTATAGCTTCCCCTGTAGATTGGTAGGGATAGGGTAGCAATAATGCCACACGTTTGCGGCACACATTAAAATGTTTGTGAAAAATGTAACACCTGATCCTAAAAATTAGGAAACCAAAAGAGAGGTGAAATGATCCAAGTTAAAAAAATCATTCAGGAGGCCTATTTTAAACTGAGATCACTTATTTGCTCTTAAAGAAACAGCTCATCTAACAAACCCAAAGTCTCAAACTGATTGAATTAATTCACTAGAAACCAAAAATGTTTTTATTTTAAGCCACTGTTTCAGGGAAATTTCTACTGGCAGTAAAGTTGGCTTGACAACTCCTGTCCCCAGCTGTGTGTTCCCCCTCCTGATACAACAATTGCAGAGCCCTGCCATGGATTATATCTGTGAACTGATCCAGATTAAAAATAAAGAGACTGATAGGAGGAAGGAGGTAAGAAGGTGCCCAGTTCCTTCCATTTATTATGTGTCCCCAGGTGAGGGTGAAAAGCGCTTATGCAGGCTTTACTGCTGAGACACGTACCCAGGATTCACAGCCTCAGTCTGTCCTGCACCACTTCTGATCTAACTTGAAAATAAACCAAAACAGGCCTTATTTACACTGAAACACAGCCTTTCAACACTCGTTTAAAGCCAGGTAAAGGGATTTTAGCCATATCTGTAAAATGTTCAGACCCGGGGCCAGCCTGACTGCCCACTCTCGATGCCCCACTCAGACTCTGTAATAGCCAAGCAGAGCAGCAGCACGATCCGGAGCACTCAGGCCCAGCATTTATGCCCAGCTGCATTCGGAGGCTGCACAGGAAACTCCAGCTCTCTGGAGGGCGACTGAACAGTTGACTTGGTGCCGGAGGAATTGGAAATGCCAGGCTGGGGGATCGCCCTGCTCTGACCCAAGGCTGCTGCACCCATCCAACCCATCCAACCCAAGCCACAGCTTTTGGGAAGGGGAATCCTGGGTCTTGGACCTTGACTCCAGTGCTATTTATATGTGGAAAGATGCTTTAATACAAATAACACTTTAACGTAAGATGTGTCAGTGGTAACTGGCACAGCAGCTGGGACACAGTACCCCAAGTGGAGCGTTCAAATCACAGATCTAGAGGTAATGGTCCCTTCACCAATCCTCTCCCAGGTCCCCTTCATTTATGCACTGAGTCCCAGCATTGATGCACAGGCATCTGCTTCCAGGTTGTACTGGGTTTGTGTGGCAAGGTTTTGGTAGCGGGGGGGCTACTGGGGTGGCTTCTGTGAGAAGCTGTTAGAAGCTTCCCCTGTGTCTGATAGAGCCAATGCCAGCCAGCTCCGAAAGGCCGGAGGCCGGCCGGCCCCGGGCGGCCCCTGCCACTGGCCAAGGCTGAGCCCATCAGCAATGGTGGTAGCACCTCTGGGATAACATAATTAAGAGGGGGGGAAAAAAAAAAACCCCAAACCACGGGGACAACAAACTGCAGCCGGAGTGAGGAGTGAGAACATGTGAGAGG